GTTTTGAGACTGATTTACTAAACAAGAACTGATTGTGTAAGAACAATCATCTTGTTTTCAGAATATGTAAGATTATTTGTCTTGTTAGTCTGAAAATTTGACTCAAATTAAGTAAAAAATTTCTGCCAATGGAGTCAGAAAATTTTACTTGGTAAGATTCTTGAAATAAGAAAAAAACTGAGTCAAATCAAGTATTTTAAGAATCTTACCAAGTAAAATTTTCTTACTCCATTGGCAGAAATTTTTGACTTAATTTGAGTCAAATTTTCAGACTAACAAGACAAATAATCTTACACATTCTGAAAACAAGATGATTGTTCTTACACAATCAGTTCTTGTTTAGTAAATCAGTCTCAAAACAAGAACAAAAAGACTTTTTGGCTGATATAAGATTTTAAAACTTGGTAAGATGGACAGTTTTTGCAGTGAGTGACCAATTATTTTACAGTTAAAAAAATGTGCTGTCATAGCCACTAATCCAAAGCACACAGTGTGAGTTATAATTAGGACAGCATCTGCTTATAGCTGGGATCGTGTTACATATGGTCCAGTTTCCCCAACTGCAAACTATTCTTTACTTTTACTCCGTTTATGTTTTGCACCTGTCAATAAACTCAAAACACAGAAGAGCTTAGATCGACTTAAACAGGTTAAGTTTATAACACATTAAATCATTTATTACTGCTGATTGTGTATAAATTGTTGAATAAAATAACAAAATGCACAATGTGACTAATTTATTTTAGAATGAAATGTTTCAATTGGGATTTTAAATTAAAGAAGATTTTGTATCAGTCATGTTGTTTTGATTCATTCATTAAATTTTTTTCGAACTTGTTCATTTTTGCTAAAATGTCTAAAACTCGTGATACGAATTCAAACAAATTTAGGGATTCTCAATAAGAAAAGCATTGATTAAAAAACAGTGTCTCATAAAACCAATCAATTAAATCAATAAATTTATTTCTACAGCACTTTCTAAGCATTAAGGCTGCACAAAGTTCTGTACAAAAACATGTTCATTAATTAAAAACACAACACCTCAACTAATTAAAGTCTTTTCCCCACATTTTTTAAGTTAATTGACATTTTTAATGTAACAAACTTATTAATCCCAGAGAAGATATGTTTTTTTGATATAGTGTGAATTAATAAAGTTGTGTGCTTTTTTTTTTTTTTTTTTTTTTTTTTTTTGTGTTACTGAGGTTATTTGTGTGTTAATTCTGCTCACCGCCTCCACATTGTGTTCCGTTAGGTCCGGCTCCACCGGGCCGGGTCCAGGCTCGTTTGGAGTCTCCATCTGAAGCAGAAGCTCTTCCTGTTTTCCTCTGTTAGAATAAAATAAAAATAAAAACAACTATAAATCCTGCTCAGAAGATCCAAACGGCCTTCCAGAGTCTGAAGCAAAGCCCCGCAGCTTTCAGCACGCTTCACGCATGCGTGCGGTCAGCCCCCTGACCTCTGCGGGGACAGGGCGGAGCAGAACCACGGACACATGCTCAGCTTCAGGCTCCTCTGACAACTTCTGAAGCGTTGCCGTGAAACCTGCGCGGAGCTCGTGCTAGTTCAGCGCTCCTGACGCACACGGCTGCGCCTCTGACGCACGGACTTCTGATTGGCGCGCGTGCGAACAGCCCTCAGATGCTGCAGCGGGATGGTGGACCCTGAGCTTTCAGACTGGAGGGCGCGCGCGCGCGTGGCAGAGCGGTGGCATCAGTGTCGTGCGCGCACGCGCTGTGACACGAGTCACGCGTGTGTTTCTCCTGGCGGAACAGCCAGACCGGCCCCACCCCCTCCGCTCCTCGTCTGCCCGACTCCCCCAGGATATTTTTAGCCCCGATGATGCGTCCTGGCACAGCACGGAACGGAACCACCATCAGAGCCAAACGAGAGGACGGAGCTGTTGCTGCGGGTCTACAGAGGGTCTGACGTCTACAGAGGGTCTGAGGTCTACACAGAGACGGGGGTCTGAGGTCTACAGAGGGTCTGAGGGTCTGACACCGACCGGCGGACGGGATGAAATCTGAAATAAATTCGGTGTTTTCTGTGCTGGTGCTGCTCACTGGATTATGGCAGATAGGTAAGACCCCACCTGATGATGATGATGATGATGATGATGATGATGATGATGATGATGATGATGATGCTCTCAGCCTTCATCTGAACCAGGGGTGGGCAATCCTGGTCCTCGAGGACCACAGCCCAGCAGGTTTTCTGATTTTCCCTGCTCCAACACACCAGATTCAGACATTGAATGACCAAGTTCTGCAGTATGGAGGACCGACACTGACATGACTAGGAAAGAAAAGTAGAATTATATAAATGGACCAATAAATAAATTCAATTAAAAATGTGCCAATTAAATTTTAAAAGGAGAGCTTAATAT